TCTCAAGGAATAACCTCAAAAGTTGAAATAAATTCAACTTTTTGGACTATTTCCGTTACCTAGCCTTTTGGGCACAAAAGTTAATCAGTGGAGGGAAAGATAATCCACAGGGAGTATTTATAGCTGGGGGGAGGGGGACGGAAGTGGGAAGTGTCCTTGCCTCTAATATACCTCATTCAGGTGTCTGAACCACATTTAGAGCTTCACTAACAAACTGGCTTGTCTCACTGCTTTCAGCCACATGTGCCACACTAGTTTGGCTCCAGTGGGATGTCTGGCTAGGGTCCAGCACATCTGCAGGTAATACATTCTTCTGAGCTCTCCACCCTGATATGGAGGGGCCAATAGTGGCATGCAGACATCCTTCAACATAAATATCAGGGTTTATCTAGTCCCAATTCCTTCACCTGGAACACTTGTTTAAAAGTGTTGTTCTTCTGGAGAAATCACAAAAGTTTATATTGAATCAGTACAAATATCTCTTTCCCAAGAGAAGTTACGAATTACTCTTATTTTATGCTTTTCCCCTCAAAATAAATCTTGAGCGCTGGGCCTGTGAGAACCAAGAATTAGAAAGGCATTGACTGTAGCTAGAAAAATGTAGGTAATATAACAGGCAAATTAGAAGGGAGTCCAAGTAAATATATGGAGGAAATAGGATTCTTCCTCCTCCCATCCTGAATCTAACCACAGAACTCTATTACTTTCTCCATTCCTTCTGCAAAATCCCTAACTACCTTTAAAAAATACACTCATCAGAATGAAGGATGTAGTTTCCAGTTTTGTCCGTCTTTGACATAATGCACCTTTGAGATCAGTTTGTGTATCTGGGCCCTTTTACTTCTATGGCCCTAAACTTATTAGACAAACTATAAAAACTTAGGTTTTTGTATTAGTTCATATAACAAGAGTTTATTTAATTGGATTATTCTTTATTTTCCCTTCTGTCTGGTACTTTCTATTCTTAGAGTAATGGGGTTAAATCTTAGGATACATGAAGATCCTACATTTTTTCCCCTTAGATCTGTTTTTATTTTTTGGAGTAGTAGGACACAAAGAGAAATGGGAGCTGGGGTGTCTGGTATTTAGTGTTCTTTGATTCTGTATTATTTTGTTTCCTGTTTTTTGGTAGAGATAATAGATATTCCACCAATTTCCAGGAGATTGGGAGCTTTGAAAATAATTTCTTTTTTTTTTTTTTTTTTGTCTTTTTTTTTTTCATGTCCGGCAACGGATCGCAACCCTCAGTGTCGCGCCCGGACCGGACCGGACCGGCAACAGGATAGCAACCCTCGGCGCTGCGCCCACACCTCGCTCAGCCAGTGAGCGGGAACCAGTCTGTATGTGGGATCCGAACCCTCGGCGGGAGCGCCACCACGCTCCCAAGCGGCGCACTGCAGCAGTGCGCCACCGGGCCAGCCCTGAAAATAATTTCTAAATAATCAGGTTGTTTGCTTATAGGAGAGAGAGAAAGAGAAGAAATTGTATTAGGTAATCCCTGATACTTCTTATCCAATATTTTAGCCTACCTGGTCCTAGTAAAATCTTTTGAGTGTAACTAAGCTGCTAGTTTCTGGAAGTGTTCACTTCAGATCTTTAAAATTGGGTTACGTGGGCCGGCCCGGTGGCGCACTGCTACAGTGCGCTGCTTGGGAGCGCGGTGGCGCTCCCGCCGAGGGTTCGGATCCCACATACAGACCGGTTCCCGCTCACTGGCTGAGCGAAGTGCGGGTGCGACACTGAGGGTTGCGATCCCGTTGCCGGTCCTGGTCCGGTGCGGGTGCGACACTGAGGGTTGCGATCCATTGCCGGACACGAAAAAAGACAAAAAGGAAAAAATAAATAAATAAATAAAATAAAAATAAAATTGGGTTACGTGATACCCAGAGGGATACACACTGGGAGGCAGGAAAGTAATTAATTATAATAGAGCTAGCATCTATTGAATGTTTACCAAGTGCCAGGTACCTTTCTAAGGGCTTCATATGCATTGCCTTATTTCATTTTATCGTAATTTTAGGAAGTAGATACTATTTATTTACTCCATTTTACAGATGAGAAGAATAAGGTTCAGACGTGTGAGGTAATTCTCACAGTGTCACCCAGCTTGTGAGTGACAGGACTGGACTAGAACTTAGGTCTGATTCCAAAGGCTAATGAAGTAGGTGTTATCTGTATTTTGCACACGAGTGAATGAGAGATATTAAGTAACTTGCCGTAAAGTCACATAAATAGTAACTAGCAGTGGTGTCAGGATTTGAACTCAGGTTTCCTTCTCTCTAAAACCCATGGTTTTAACTGTTTTAAATCCTAAGATATCACTGAGCATTAAGGAATGCAGGAGAGTACAACACATTAAGAATACAGTATTAGAATTCATGCAGCAATCACACTTCTGGATATTTACCAAAAAGATTTGAAATCAGTTTGTTGAAGAGATGCCTTCACTCCCACGTTCATTACAGCACTATTTACAATAGCCAAGTTACGGAATCAGCTTAAGTGTCCATCAACAGATAAATGAGTAAAGAAAATGTGGTATATATACACAATAGAATACTATTTAGCCTTAAAAAAAAAAAAAAAAAAAAAAATTCTGACACAGGCCACAACATGGAACCTTGAGGACGTTATGCTGAGTGCAATAAGCCCGTTAGAAAAGGACAAATACTGTATGATTTCACTTATATGACATGTTTAAAGTAGTCAAATTCATAGGAAATTCTGTGATTTGCAACAACACACCAGGCACAGGAAGACAGGTACAGCATGTTCTCACTTATATGTGGAATCTAAAACAATCAAACTCATGAAACAGGGAATAGGATGGTGGTTACAGAGGCTGGGGTTTGGGAGAATGGGGAGGAAAGATAAATATTTGAGGTAATGGATATGTTAATCATCTTGGTTTAATTATTCCACATTGCATTCATAAACCATAATATAATTTCGTATCCCATAAATATATACAATTATAAATTGTCAATTTACAATAAAAAATACCAGCAAGATACCACTTTACACTCATTAGGATAAGTATTATAAAAAAAAATACTGAGCCTTCAAAAAAAAAACAAAGAATATTAGAATTAAAAAAAAATTAAGTTGACTGTCCTTATGAATCAGTCCTTAAAGAAGATTTCTGTAGCACATAGGTGAAGTGAGAAGAAAACCAAGGGCCTAAACAGCAAGGATAAATTGGTATATAATGAATGGGAAGCTCTGAGGAACTTTTTAAAAAATATGGTATAGGGCCGAGCCTGTGGTGCACTCGGGAGAGTGCGGCGCTGGGAGTGCAGCAGCGCTCCCGCCGCGGGTTCGGATCCTATATAGGGATGACCGGTTCGCTGCGGCCAGTCTCAAAAAGGACCAAAAAAAAAAAAAAAAATGGTATAGCTGAGAGATACCTTTATATATTTGTTTGTTTGTTGCATTTGTCTGCTGTGTTTCCAACCTCAGTTGCAATTCCCACATTGAGGCAGTTCCCACCCTTCCTGTGTCCCTTGAGCTGAGCAGGCACTTCCTGTCCTATTGGAAATGAAAGTTAGAGATTGGGGGTGGGGTGTGTATGTGTGTGTATTTACTCTGCAAAATATTAGTACTGTCTGTTCCATTATCATAGCAAAAAAGTGACAGGAAAACTAGAATAGAGACTAGGACTTCATTTAAGGGAGGGTTTGGGCTTAATGTTTGTTTTGACAAAGCAGACAGAGTTAGAGTATGTCTCAAGAGAATACTGTGATGGCAGCCAGGTGGCCTTATGAAGGGAGGTGAAGGCTTTCTTTCTCCGTAGCTGTTCCACTTGAATTGGTAGGGATTACTGATACTATGCTTAAGGTTTTGGTTTCCTACAAGTCTTTTTTCTTATTAAGGCTGCTCCTACAAGGACATTCCTTTGAAACTATTAGAGGTGAGTGTTGTGGCAACTGTGTTAGGCTTTTGACTCAAGTTTATGTTCTTCTTTCCTAAGAATTGTTTTTCTTCTCTGTTAAGCATATGTTTTAAATAGTTATTATTGGTTTTGGGGTTTTTTTGTTTGTTTGTTTGTTTGTTTGTTTGTTTTTTACAGCTCAGAAGCAGCTTGAAGCAGACATCTCAACTCTGTGAACTTCAGTCTGGACATAAACTCTGGATTTGGTGAGTTTCTATAATTGTTTCAGCTTCATGGATCTTAAAGACTAGGAAATAGTAGAATAGAGTCAAATAAGACAGCTTCCAATTGTTAAAGAAACCACTAGGCACCAATTTCATAATACAGTCCAGTCTGATAATTCCATTTTAAGTGTGAGCTCATTCATGCGAGAATCTGAAATAGGAGTAAGGGGCATTAGCCCTTCAGTGTGACGCAAGAGAAACAGAAGTGTCTAAGGATCTGAAGCTAGTTATTTCCCATACTCTGTTTTCCTTGTCTCTGCTCTTTGGTGTGCTCCTCTGCTTGTTCTTTCTTCATGCATTAAGATCACTGTAAATGTAAGGTAGGAGAAGTCCTGAGCTCATCTCACACACTCTATTTCAGTATAGTTTTCTTCCCACGTTCTCCAAGGCAGTGTCTCAGTGGCTCCTTTAAAAATCACACTTGAAATCTTCTTATAGTTGAGATCTAAGGGGAAAAAAACCTCCATTGTCTTTTCATGAGGATCAGAATTTGTAGTGGAATGGGGATGAATTTAAAAGAGGTTAGACCTAAGAACTCTACTTTCTAGCTTTAACTACTGAGCCTATAAAAAAACAAACAAAAATATAACATCTTGGGCATTAGGACCCAGTGGAAGTGCCTCATTCAGACTCTGGGTTAACTTCTCTCAGTGACGTAAAGGGGCAGCCCTAGCTCATTCTCTACCCGCAGCACCCTCCCCATCTCTCTCCCTCTTGCTCCTTTTCTCCTCCTTTCTCCTCCCCCCTTCTCTCTCTCCCTCCCTTTTTTCCTCCCTCCCTTTCCCTCTCTCCCCTCCTCCCCTCCTCTCCTCCTCCCTCCCTCTTCTTTCACCCCCACCTATTCCCTCTCCCTCTTCTCTCTCAGCTCCCTAACATTAAAGAAAAAATGCTGCTATCAGTGACTTCCAGGCCTGGGATTTCAACTTTTGGCTATAACAAGAACAACAAGAAGGTAGGGAAAAGTGCTTTTTTGGAATCCAGCTACTTCTTTTTCTGGGGATCTGGGAGTGCCCTTGTATTTAACATTCTCCTTTAAGAGGGGAATGAGATTCCTTCTCTGGTTTCAGTGCCTCTCCCTTTCCACCACTTCTTTCGGCATCTTTTCTCACCTGGTTCTGAATTTCAAGGAATTTACAGTCCCTGTTTCTGAGGCCTGAAAAGGCAGGGGAATTAAAAACAAATCAAGTTCATGAATTTGGATCCTTGTGAAATGAAGTTAGTTTGACTTCCTGCTGATGTACCAATCTCCGCAGGGATAATATGTCATCTCAGACCCTTTCCCCCAGTTTACCCCCTACAGGATTATTTTATCTTTTTGATTAACTGTTTCCATACTCCCCCACCTGCTTTCCTACCTCGTATCACCAGCATTATTAAATAGCTGAAATCACAGATAGTGAAATCACAACAGCTCATCAAGAACTGGGTATACTCTTCTAGACTAGAGACCCTACCCCTCCCAGCCTGTAGAGACGTAGTCTTGAGAAAGTACCTTGTGATTAAGGAAGAAAGCTCTGTGATTCTTTGGGTCTTGCTGTCGAACTGATACTCTTGGAACTTGGAGCTCTGAAGATAGCCAGGCTCAGCAGGGATCCTTGGAATCTTTATGATTAACCCATGGTTGCCAGAGAGTTGCGCAAAGCTTGGGCACATGGGCAGTCTGGAGAGAGATGGACAATCTTTCCCACACTTGCATGGGACTATTCTTGGAAGTTTCTTAGCATTTCAGGGCACACAGTGCTGATTAGGAATGACTTCATGCTGTAGAAGAAAGACCCTTTACCCTCTTTCTGGATGTTGTAGCTGTTCTTTGAAGAAAAAGTGTGTCATAACATTTAGGGATCTTTTGCTCATCTAATGGAATGTTGGAGGATGGGAAAAGATACTTGCTGACTTCTCATGTATCTAAAGAGACCCTTTACCGGTAGATTTAAACACAAGTCTCTGATCAAGGGAGTGAATAAATGTTGTGACCCAAAACACATAGTGTTAGTTTATGTGGTATTCATTTTGTTTATATCCTTAAGAAATATAGAGGTGGAGAGGAAATGGGGAGATGTAGGTCAGAGGATACAAAGTAGCAGATATGTAGGATGAACAAGTCTAGAGATCTAATGTGCAACATAAGAACTGTAAGTAATAAAATTGTACTCTGTATGGGATTAATGCTAAATGAGTAGATTTTAGCTGCTCTTTCCACAAAAACAAAAACAGGTAGCTGTGAGATGATGGATATGTTAATTTGCTTCACTATAGTAGCCTGTTTACTATTTCTATGTATGTATCCTGTAACATCATGTTATATACCATAAATATACACAATAAAATATATTTAAAAAGAAAAGAAATGTGGTTCCATACGTATTCGTTAATTATTAGCATGTGTATGTATATACTGATACATATACTGATATCTCCCTCAAATATATGTGTATAAATGAGGGTACTTCAAAAATTTCATGGAACAATAGAATTAAAACATAATACAAATCTTTCCATGAACTTTTTAAAGTACCCTCATATTATGCATTATTTATATATTATACATATATATTTGAAAGGAGAATATTTCATCTGTCTTTATTCTCTTTAGATCTTATATAGTACTGTGTGAAAGTTTCCCTCTTGATTTTTTTCCCTCCAAGTCTCTCGGGCACCAAGAATCCGTTAAAATAAAGTAAAATGAATTCCCAAAGTTAATTTTTCCCTGTTAGGGGTTTTATGTAATTGAAACTATCTAAAATCTTCTCTTTTCTTAGCTTTCCACTCCCTCTCTCCCTTTGAAGTATAGGAAATGTTTGATCAGCTTCTAAATGTAGGATAGTATAGGGGACAAGAGATATGTTTGTGGATTTGGATTCAAGTCTCATATCTCTTCCTGACAACTTGGAAGGTTTGGGAAGCAATTCAGGAAAGTTTAGGACCAGTTTGGGATTGGGGAGTAGATACATAATTACTAATGTATTATTTGTCAAGAATTCTTTGAGTTCTTTCAGGGCAATGCTATGATGACATGTAAGGATGCCGTGTATGTGCATCACTTTGTGGCTATGTATATGACTCCTTGTGTGTATATATAGGCTTATGAATGTTGGGTGTATTTAAAGTAAAGCATCACTACATTGCTCTTAGTCTTGATGTTAACATTGAGGCCTTAATGTGTTTGTTTCTCTGTTTGGGAGGAGTGTTTTGGATGCATTTGCTTATGTAATTTGTGCATTTGTATACCCGAGATTAAATTTTAAAATTTAACTTTTATTAGTTTTTAGTAATAAATTTAAGAAATGCCCATTTTAAAAAATTAAACATGAAGAAGTATGTGAGATAAAGTCTTCTTTTGATGTCCTGTAGTCCCTTACTCAAATCCTACTCCTCAAGGAAAATAACTGCAATTTGGAGTATATATCCTTCCAGAATTTTTTTCTATGTCGAGACAAAATTTTAATTTTGATAGTGGCTTATTTGTCATTTCCATTAAGATCTCAGTTTCTCAAGTAGAACAAGTCCATCAAATAAATTTTTTGGACCTGTTCAAATGTTTAAAAAACTGAGATAAAGGACAACCAAGTTTCTAAACTTCTGAAAAAGTACAAATTATAAATATCTGCTGCTTTCTTTAAGGAGAACTTTTGCATCATAATTTGCTGTTGGATCTAGTTTGTGGAATAAAAATAATTGCCAATGACTTCAGTTTGAAAAGCTGCTATTTGTATACCACTGTTGTGACTTGCTTATTTTAAAGTGTATTAATTTCATTTACTTGACTATAAAAAATAGGATTTTTTTTTGAAACATATACTTCACTTATGAGGAAAGGTGTTTCCTGAGGAGCCCATGACAATCAATTTTCTTATTCTTTTTTGGCTGGTGGTAAATATAGGAATGCAGTCAACAAAAATATAATGCCTAATAAGACAGATTCTTTCTCAGGGTATAGTGTTAAATTTCCATTTCTTTCTCTGAAATTAAAATAGTTACAGAAAGGGAAAAATGTGGATTTCAAAGAGGGAGTCTGCAAGATGATTTAATGTAGTGTTTTTTTTTAAACATCAGTTTTAATGGCCTTCAAGTACTTTGGTTCATTAAAAAAAAAAAAAAGGCTGAAGTAAAAAGATTAGTTCTAGAGTCTCAAGACTGAAGTTTGAAGAAATTGCCCCAGTAGAGAGATTTGAGTATAGGTGAGATTGAAAGAGGAAATGTTTGGGACTAAAGGAATTTCATACTTGTAAAGGGCCTAACCACGCCTTCCCTGACATCATCTCCCTGGCATGTGTTATTATAATTTAACTCCTCATAGTATCAACAACCATTTCCTTTGGAAAAAAAGAAAAAGGACGGTGTTTAACTTGGGATAATTTGCCTTCCCCAATGTCTTTTGCATAAATTTCTATTTCTTCTTGATGTTAATACAGTATATTGAAGACCAGTATGGGGTAGGAGGCAATGATGAAAGTAGGACTGACTGGTGGGTATTGCTAGATCCTCACTCTTTGAGAAGCTTGATTTACCTGAGATTGTCAAAAGTGTTTACTTAGGAGAGAGAAGAAAGTAGGAAACAATACTATAATCATTTATACTTCTAACAGGGAGAGAGAATTTTCTGTGTGTGTTTATTACATTTCCATCAAATCAAATTTAATAGAACTGAGAACTAGGAACTTTTAGGTCTAACATCTGTTGACTGGGGCCGCTATTCTGTTATCAGTAGTAAGTTAACTCAGATGACTAAAGTTTAGCCATAATACCTTTTCATTGATCCCTTCTTACTATTTTTTTAAATAGCCCCTTTTAATTGGGAGCTCCTTTCCATTTTTAGCAATATAGCCTAATTTATGCCCTCATTACTGACTATCTTTACTACTATAATAAACATCCCACATCATCTCCTTGCCCCCTATTTCTCCACCCCCTACCCCTTGCCTCCAAATAATTTTATACCTACTGCCAGAACAATCTTCCAACAATCCAGCAGTCTGACACAGAGTATTTCCGTATAAAAAACTTTAATGGCTCTATATTACCTCTGAACAAAGTCCAAAACCCTAGCCCAACACCTACTATCTATCCAGCCTTTCCTTATCCTCCGCATTTGACCCATAGTCCCCCTGCCCCACACTGATTCCCATTCACTCTCCTAGCCAGTTGTATTACTGCAGTTTTCTGATTGTTGGTTTACATTTCTCATTCCATAGAAAAATATGCAGTAAAGTAGAAAAATATAGACAAGAAATAGGACAAGGGAAAATATAGATTAGAATAAGAGGTCAATTGTAATTAAAAGTCAAATGTGCAAACCATAAAATTATATGCTGGAAGATGAGGACTAAAGAATAGCCATTGATTTTGTTAGTATAAAGATGGTTGATGACTTTGACAAACGATTTTGGAGGAGTGGGAAGCAAAAGCAAGATTGAAGTGGGTCAATGAGTGAAAGGAGGTAAGGAAGTATATAGATGGTGTGTATAAACTAATCTTTTAAAAACTTTAAGTTGTACAATGAACCCAATTAAAAAATAGGCAAAATATCTGAGTAGATATTTCTCCAAAGGATCTACAAATGGCCGTGAAAAAATGCTCAACATCATTAACCATCACGGAAATGCAAATCAAAACCACAGTGATATACCACTTCACACCCACTAGGATGGCTATAATCAAAAAGACAGATAATAAGGTGGAGTAATTTAGAACCTTCACACACTGCTGGTGGGAATGTAAAATGATACAGCTACATTGGCACAGTTTGGCAGTTCCTCAAAAAGTTAAACACAGGGCCGGCCCGGTGGCGCACTGCTACAGTGCGCCTCTTGGGAGCGCGGCGGCAGCGCTCCCGCCGAGGGTTCGGATCCCACATACAGACCGGTTCCCGCCCACCGGCTGAGCGTGGTGGGGGCGCCACACCGAGGGTTGCGCTGCCGATGC